AAAAAAAAAAAAAAAAAAAAAAAAACTAAAAAAAAAAAAACTACAAACAGTGAACGTGTGCAGCTACTGTGATACGGTTGTATAATAACAGGAGCTGTGGCTGACCGGCCTGGGGTTCAACCACCGCCCTGACCTCGGCTGGCCCAGCTTTTGGGGCGGGCCTTCGTCTGACGGTGGCCTTTGGCAGTCCCTGGCAGATGAGGAGAGCGCCGCAGTCCCCTTGACTTTCACCCAAGAGCCGGCACCCTGCGCTGAGCCCCCCTTCGGGCTAAGCCTTCCGGGGCGGCAGTGATGTCCTGAGCTCAGCCTTGTGCAGGGACCCTGTGGGGCGCTGTCGTCACCCGGAGTCTCTCAGTTGTGCAGTGTCCTCTCCCAGGCGCACTGTGGCCCACTGCCTGTTGGAGTAAATAAAGCTTTCTTGGCACACCGCTGTGTCCTGTTTATGGACCACGTGGTCCTCCACTGAAAGCTTACGGGGGCCTGGACACCTCACTCTGAAGCAGACAAGACCAACAGCAGACAGCTGTCGAACCTCAGCGGCTCCCGGTGGCAGAACTTCCTGAGGTGATGGGCGGGTGCTGTCCTTATGCTGTCCACTGGCAGCGCCCTGACCACATAAACACGATTAATTCAGAGTGACCCTCAAGCTGGCGCCAGCTCCCAGAACTCTCTGGATAGCCCAGGCTGGCCTCAGACTCCTGGTGATCCTCCTGCCTCAGCCTCCTGCATGCAGGCACGCACCACCACACCCAGCGTGAATTTGTGTGGTTTTAAGATCGTCCATTTATGGCCCTTTGTTCTAGCAGCCGTAGGAGTCGTCCCTCACGGGCGGCAGGTGCTGTCCCCTTGTGAGAGCTTCCTGCCGGGCAGACCCCAGGCTGAGCCCTCCGCAGAGGTCCCAGCAGGGCCTTCCCAGTCCTCACGGTGTTACCTGTACCTCCATCTTTCAACTGGGGGACAAGGGCTCTGGGTTGTCATTGGCCCCTGATCACACAGGGTCGGGGGGCAGCCGGACGGAGTGGACAGAGAACTGACAGCTCTCTCACCGCCAGGGACTATGTCACGGGCGGCACTTGTCCCAGCAAGGCCACCATCCCCGGGAAGACGGTCATCGTGACGGGCGCCAACACCGGCATCGGGAAGCAGACCGCGCTGGAACTGGCCAGACGAGGTGAATCCCCTGCTTTGTGTTCGGAGGAGTTACTTGCGCACTGTGTTGGTAGCAGTGCAGTCAGCGAAAGCTGGGAACGGAGCATGTGTCCGTCCCCAGATGGAGGGACCCGCTAAGTGTCGCCTGCCACAGCAGGACTATTACTCAGCCCTGTAAAGGCAGGGCATTCCGATCCACACTGCACCGTGATGGACCCGAGGGAGCAAGGCTCAGTGAGAGGGCTGAGGTCCGGCTCCTAGGGGCCGTGTGCAGAGAGGCAGGAGGTGGAGGGGTGGGTGCAGGGCTGGGGGGGAGGGGGAGCCGGTGGCCAGGGGTGTGGGGTTTCTACCGGGGATGATGAACATGCTGTGGAGCTGCGTGGGGTGAGGGCCATGCAGCAGTGCGAATGTCCTCAGGGCCACCGCACTGGGCCCCGTCTCGGTCACCTTCACAGGGCGGGGACACAGCTCGAAGGGGCAGAGGGCTATGCGGCTCACATGTCAGGCTGTGGTGTGCTGGCTCTGGAGCAGTAGCAGGGTGACTGAGGGGCCTGGAGGAGGGGAAGGCGCTCTGCCCACGGAGGCCAGGAAGCGGGAAGCAGGAAGTGAAGGGAGGAACGGGGGCGGCAGGGAGGGTAAACCCCAGGGCCCAGCTCCAGCCAGGGTCAGCGGGCCAGCAAGGACTCATGAGTAGGTGGATCAGAGTACAGCGCCCCCATAGTCCAGCCTCCTCCTGCATGTGAGGATTTTGGTGCATTTTATTTATCTTTTATCTTTTTTTTTTCTTCTTTTTGGTATGTAGTCAAGGCCAGCCATGAACTCATTTTGTAGCCCAGGCTGGGCTTGAACTTGTGGTGATCCTCCTGCCTCAGCCGCCAAGTGCTAGGATTACAGGTCCGGGCCACCACTCCTGGTTTAATTAGAAGACTTCTCGTAGCGTTATTGAGATGTACAAATGGTCCCTACCATGCGATGATTTGATTTGCTTTTTTTTGGTGGTATGGGAGACTGAACCCAGGGCCTTTGCACTGAGCTACACTCCCAGCCCTTTCTGTTTCGAGACAGTATCTCGCTAAGTCACTGAATTTCCCGGGCTGGACTCAAACTTGCAATCCTCCTGCCTCAGCCTCCCAGAGTGCTGAGATTACAGTCGTGCACCTCCATGCCTGACTTCTGAGCATGTTTCAGATAGACAAGGCCTTGCTAGGCTGCTTGGGAGGTGTATTCAATGTGTTTTCAGTTCAGGGTACTTTTGGTTTATCACGGTTTTATCTGGATGTAAACCCACTGGAGATCAAGGAGCATTTGTAATCCATAGCCATGTTCTGCTGGCTTCAGGGACCCAGCGCTCCCAGGGTGACGTGGCCTCGCCGGTCAGCGTGGGAACATTTCATCCCCCAGGAGCCGGGCCCCTCCAGCCCTCAGGGCCACCCTGGGAAGCCAGGTACCTGCTGGACTTGGGCAGTGCAGGGCCGGTGCCGGCCTGTTGCGGTGCCCGGGGCTGGTGACGCTGGCGTGTGTCGGCGCTCCGTGCCTGTCAGGGCTGAGGGTTGCCGCAGGGAGGACAGCATTGGCTGACTCTGGGCGCAGTGCCTGGACACTGCCCGTCCCCTCCCGCTGACGGTTGTCCCGCACTGCCAGGACGGTTGTGTGTAGTCTCTCGGTGATGACGCCTCCGTTTCCCTTGAGGTGATGCCTGACCGCGGTTTTTCCCTCGTTTTGTTCCCACTGTTTCCAGGAGGCCGCGTCATCCTAGCCTGCCGAGACATGGAGAAGTGCGAGGCGGCCGCCAAGGACATCCGCGGGGAGACCCTCAACCCCCACGTCTGCGCGCGGCACCTGGACCTGGCTTCCCTCAGGTCCGTGCGCGAGTTCGCGGCGAGGATCCTCGAAGGTAGGGGAGGTGCGGCCTGCGGGGCTCTAGGGAGCCAGTTCTCAGGGAGCCAGTTCTCGGGGAGCCAGGTACACCTGCTGCCTGGTTTTAAAATTTTAATTTACTTTAGTATTATTATTTTTGTAGTAGTGGGGATGGAACCCAGAGCCTTCATACCGAACTATATTCCCAGCCCTCTTTCCATTCTTTTATTCTGAGGCAGAGTCTTGCCAAGTTACAGAGTTGCCCAGGCCAGGCTTGAACTTGAGGGCCTCCTGCCTCAGCCTCCCAGGGTGCTGGGATGACAGGTCTGCTGCCCTGCCCCAGGCTCCTTCCTAACATGTTTATGTGTGTATTTGTATATTTTTAGACAAAACTGGAACTATATATATATATATATATATATATATATTTGTTCTTACACATCTTTAAATGGACTAGAGCACATAATTTTAAAACATGTTTAATTTTAAATGGACAGATGAAAATTGTTTGTATTACTAGTGTATAACATGGTGTTTTGAAATACATATATGTTGTAAAATGGCTAAATTGACCTAGCTGACACATATATTTCACGTTATATAACCTTACTTTTTTTTTTTTTCTTTTTGAGGCAGGGTCTCACTATGTAGTTCAGGCTGGCCTTGGGCTCACTTTGCAGCCCAGGCTGGTCTCGAACTCACAATGATCCTCCTGCCTCAGCCTTCCAAGTGCTGGGATTACAGGCATGCATCACCATGCCTGGCAACTTTACCATTTTTGTTGTGAGAACATTTGAAATCTATTCTCAGTGATTTTTTTTTATTCTCAATGATTTTAAAGAATATGATACATTGGTCAGGTGCAGTATGTGCACCTATAATCCCAGTGTTTTGGTTACTTTTCTCTCGTTGTTGAGACAAAATACTCAACACCCAGAATTAAGGAAGGGAAGGTTTATTTAGCTCACAGTCTGTGGAGGTTTCAGTCCATACTCGGCTGGCTCCAAGGCAGGGTGGCACATGGCAGAGGGCAACAGTTCAAGGTGGCAGAAGACAGCAGAAGCAGCAAGAGCAAAAAGGAGGAAAACAAGCCTCTTTCCCTCCCTTACATTGTAAGCAGGCCACCCCACCCAGGGGGCGTGCGGCACTCACACACTCTGCGGCCCTCCTGCACAGGCGCAGGATGAATACAAAGTAAGCACCCTGGCTCCCGCTGAGTCACACAGTTAACCTTCTGAACCTCTCACATGGACACAGTGAACAGCATCCCAGAGTTAAAGGGCGTGTCCTTTCCACCCCAGGATGTGCAACTGCTGAGTCACTTAGTTAAGCTCCTGGACTCAAGTTGACACGTTGTATCAACCATAACACCCAGCTGCTTGGGAGGCTGAGGCAGGAGGATCTCAAATTGAAGCCCAGCCTAGGTAACATATCCAGATCCTGTTTCAAAGTGAAGTTTAAAAAGGGATGAGGATCTAGCTCTGGGGTGGAGGACTTGTTTAGGATGGTCAAGGCCCGGGGTTCAATCCCCAGTACTGCCTGGTAAAGGAAAAAGCGTAATACACTGTTAGCTGTGGTTGTGAGGATGTGGAGTCGATCTCTCGAACCTGTTCTTCCTAAGAGGAGGTATTTTTTATGAGTCCCATGAACACCGCAGTGTTGCAAGCCTCTTACCTTGAGAATCCCCTGCTGTTGGGCGTCCAGGGTGTTGCTGATTTTCCTTTCGATATGAGGCTAGCAGGGGAGCACCCTTCTTTTTAAAATTAGTGCATCTTAGTAATCAGAATGGCCGGTTTGCTCCGTTCCCTCCCACGCCCCTGCGCCCTCCTCGGTCTCCGCAGGTCTACCTCCTCGTTTCCTGTTGTCTTGCGTTATTTTACGTATTTGTTTAGGTTTCTCATGTGGGAGAAACGGTGCGATATTCAGCTTTCTGAGTCTGGCTCATTTTGCTTCACGTGACGGTGGTCTGCAGTTCTGTCTGTTCTTCTGCAGATGAGATCGTTGCATTCTTTATGGCCGTGTAATACTCCACTGTGAATGGCCGGCCTTTCCCTCGCCCGTCTGTGATGGCACCTGGCAGTTGTGAGTGTGCTGCTGTGAACGTGGGTGTGCACGGCCGCTGCCAGTGCTGTTGGTAACTCTCCCGGGAGGACGCCTGGAGGGGACACGGCTGGGCTTCTTGGGATTTCCCTTGTGAGTTTCTCGAGGAATGTCCACGCTGGTTCCCCGGGGCTGCACCAGTCTGCATCAGGGGACGGGGAGACGTCGCTCTTCACCCTGAGTCTCGTCCGCTTTCTGGACCCTAGTGGGATGGGTTTGGCAAACGTCCTTGTCCTGAGTGGACGCACCTTGTTCACAAGACAGCCCCGAGTTGAAGGGGAGGAGGACAGAGCTGTGGGGTCTCGTTTATCAAGAACGTTTCCAGGCCAGCCGGAGGTGTAGCTCGGTCACAATGCCTGCCTGGCCAGCGCGAGGGCTTGAGTTCAATTCCTGGTACCAAAAAAAGGAACATTTCCTGGCCAGTTGGTGGCACACGCCTGCATCCCAGCACTCAGAGGCTGGGGCAGGAGGATCGCTGGGAGTGCAAGGCCAGTCTGGGCTACCTAGTGAGTTTGAGGCCAACCTGAACTACATAGTGAGACCCTGTCCCCAAAACAGAACAAAAATAACAAACCAAAATTTAAAAAAACAAAACAAAACCGTTTTCTGAACCCCTGGTAGGTCCTGGTTGTCACAGGGCTGAGAGAGGGCTGTGCTGGAAGAGTGACTGTGAGGTAGGGAGGGAGGCGTAGATGTCCCTCCCCTCTCCCTCCCCGCCTTCCTCCCTCCCACCGCCCACCCTCCCTGTGCCCCTGGGACCGGATGAGGCGTTACCTGGCGGCGTGGGTGAGAGGCTGTGGTCGCGGGCACACAGGACAGGAGGGGCAGTGTCTGCAGGCCTAGCGGGTGGACGGAGGGCATCTGTGAAGTGCCTGCTGTGTACCGGGAAGAGTGCTGCCCCTGGCACACATGGGCCCAGCCGATCACCCTGTAAGCCCCACATCGGCCTCTGTAGCCGTGGGTACTGGAGCCCAGCGTGCTCAGCCCCGGGGCATCTTGGGACGGCAAGGACCAGAGGCCGACACCCTGGGCAGGTGAGGTGTCCTCGCCGAGCCACAGTGTGCTGCTCCGGAAATGGGTTAGTACGTTGTGAGATAGAGTCTCGCTATGTAGCTCAGGCTGGCCTTGAACTTGTAGCAACCCTCCTGCCTCAGCCGAGTGCTGGGATTACAGGAGTGTGCCACCATGCCAGGTGAAATAGTTTATGGCATGTGTATTTTACCCTGTTTAACAAAAACAGGGGCCAGGAGTACAGCTCAGCTGAATCGAGCCTGCTGGCAAGCACAAGGTCCCCAGTTCGATTCCTGGTACCAAGAAAAACCAACAATAAGAATAAAAGAGGGAATGGGGTACAGCCTGGTGGAGGCCCGGGCTAGCATGCAGAGGATCTGGGTTCTACCCTCTGCACTGGGAAATAAAACAAGGCTTTTCCAGAAGAAACAGAACATAGTCAGGGACCCCGCCTGGGTCCAGCCCTGGGTGAGAGGAGCTCAGGGCCTCCGCGGTGCTGGGGCCTTGGCCTGGATCCCTGCCCAGGGCTCATGCAGCAGCCCTGCCTCATCCTTCTGGCTGCCCGGCACCCGCAGTGGTCCTAGTGGCAGCCCTGTGTGCTTCCACGACAGCTGTGCCGCCTGAGAGTGCCCTGTGCCCTTCAGTCCCTGGGCCACGCGGGGCAGCCCTGCACGAGGCGCCTGACCGGCTCGTCCTCCCTGTATTTCCAGCGCCCAGGAGCTGGGGCTGAGGAAGTACTTGTTGAGTGAACAGCGATTATACGTTTCTGCTGGGCGGGTACTGTTGTCCTTCTACACGGGGGAAACTGAGTCACTGAGCAGCTACGTGCCGGCCGGGTGCTGGCCGAGCCGCCTTCCCGGAGCTTGTGCCCTGCTGGGAGGGGGCGGGCACCGACTCCTCCCTCCCCAGGCCTCCTGAGAGTGGTATGGGTTCAGTGGTGCCCCCCGGCCCCGGCCCCAGGATTGTGGCCTTGTGGGACTCAGGGTCTGTACAGAGCCTAGTTGGGGCAGGTGTGCGTGTGTGTGCGCCCGTGATCCGGTGCCTGGTGTCCTCCACGAGGGAATTTGGGACACAGAGACACCTGAGGAAGGAGACGGGAGGAGACCAGAGAAGGTGGCATTGGCCGAGGGCACGGCAGGAGTGGAGGAGCCAGCCCCGTGCACCCGCCGCGGTGCCTGCTTTGGGGTAGGACGGCCACACCCTGCGTGGTCTCACCGCCCCCCCTCTGTGGCCCCGTGTTGGGGCCGCTGCTGCGGGCGGGGGCCCTGTCGCTCATGCGGCCTGAGGGTCCCCAGCTGTGTGCACGTGAGGTGTCCGGAACCAGGCTGGGTCGGGCCCGCGGCCTGCAGTGCCTGGGCTCATAAGAGCTCAGCAGGGCCTGTGCGTGTGTCCGAGAACATGTCCATCCGGGGCTGCCCATCCTGCCGGGTCAGGACGCCAGGACTGGGTCATCACAACCCGAAGGCCTTGCTGCGCCTGGGGTCGGGCGGACCCCTCTGCTGCCTCCTCAGCTCCGCCTCGCCCTGGTGCGGTCTCCCTGTGTGTCTCAGCCTTCCCCTGTGCCCCTTCAGGGAGGACACGGGCCTGCTGCGTCAGGGCTTCCCTGAGGCCCCATCCTCACTGATATGCTACCACAAAGACACTGCTTCTTGCTGATTTTTTTTTTGGGGGGGGTACTATGGCAGGAGCCCAAGGCCTTCACACTGAACTCCCTTTTTAAGAAATTTGGAGACAGGGTTTTGGTATGTCACTAAGCTGCCCAGGCTGGGCTCCAGCTTGTGATCCTCCTGCCTCAGCCTCCTAGAGAGCTGGGATTGCAGCGGTGTAGCACCCGGCCCCGCAAGGTGCTGTTTCTGAGAGGCCACCTTGCAGGCCCCAGGGCACAGGGACTATGGGGACGATGTCCGCCGCCCCGCAGGGCTCTGGTCCTTGCTCAGCCCTGTGCCCCGTCCCCTCCCTGTCTTACAGAGGAGGAGCGCGTGGACATTCTCATCAACAACGCGGCCGTGATGCGCTGCCCGCACTGGGTCACCGAGGACGGCTTCGAGATGCAGCTGGGCGTCAACCACCTGGGTGAGGCCCGTGAGGGTGGCACTGAATGTGGGTTCTGGGGCTCCGCCCTGAGGGTCCTGCTCCATGCCCGGGCACTGGGCGGCCCCCGGGGTCTCTGGTAGCTCAGGCGCCTGCGGTTCATTGCTCCGATGGTTGCTCCTGTCCCGCAGCAGCCGCTTGTCCAGAGACTCACATGATGCTGCCACCCACCCCCAACCCCATCCCCTCATCGTCCGTCTGTCCTCAGTGTCCATCCGTCTGTCCTCTTCCTCCCCAGGTCCCGGGGCCTGGCGCTTGCCTTTGCTTCTGCCTGCAGTGTCCTTGTGGTGTCCCCGACACCTGGCCCTTCGTGTCACGAGATCCCAGCCCTGAGGCCATGCGCTCAGTGAAGCCGTCCTGGCTGCCTCGTGGAGCTGGCTGACCCCGTCCTTGCCGCCCCTTCGCGGCCTCGTTCGTTGTTTTGTTCCCTGGGTGCGTCTGTCTCGCAGCTAGGATGCAGGTCCCGCGGGAAGGGCACCTGTCTTGTTCCATGCTGTCTGCAGCACACACGGGCCTCACCGGCACTTGGCGGAGGGGTCGGAGCTGGCTGCACAGTGCCAGGCCCGGCTCTGCACCCCGCCTGTGGTGTGTGTGAGCTGTGTGACTCAGACAAGCACCTGGCACTTGTCTTCCTTGCTGGCCTTCGTTGTGTGGGACACGCAGCATGGGTTGCTGAGCAGAGCAGTCCGCTCGTTCTTCTTGGGGATCCAGGCCGTGTGGTGTTGCCCTGTGGACTCTGTGGGGTCCAAGACTCTTCACACTACGCATTTGCTGACCGCACACTGTCTCTGTCTCACGGACGTGGATGGCTCACGGCCGGGTCCTCCTTCCTGCCGTGGGAAGGAGGGAAACTGGAATACTGTTGTGTCAGCTTTCCACGACTGTGACAAAACACCTGAGAAAAACACCTTCAAGTATGAAAGGTTTACTCTGGCTCACAGTTTCAGAGACTCCAGTCCACGGTCGGCTGCTCCATTGCTTCCGGCTGCGGTGAGGTGGGAATATCGTGTTGGAGGGATGTCGGGGAGGGAGGCTGCTCACCTCACGGCAGCCAGGACACAGAGTGAAGCAGCGAGCCAGAGGGAACGCGGCTGGGGCCAGATACAGGCCCCAAGATCCTGCCCCCACGCCCCTGGCCCTGAGCTAAGTCCCTCCTCCTGAGTTCCCACCCCGCAGCAATACTATCACAGTACGAATCAATCACTAGGTCAGTCCACCAGTGAACGGAGAGCTCCACAGGCCAGTCCTGTTCCAAAATCCCCTGCTTGGAACTCATGAACATTTTGGGAGACGTATCAGATCTGAACCTTAGCAGCCATGACCGGAAAGTGGTAGTGTGGATGACGTTTGTAGGGCTGCCACGACAAGGTAGCGTGTGCTGGGTCATGTGGACAGCAGAACTGTATGCTCTCAGTTCTGGAGTCCGGAAATCCACGCTGAAGATGCCGGCAGGCCTGGTTCCTTCTGGGGCCGATCCAGGCCTCTCCCCTAGCTTCTGTGGGTTTCTGGAAAGCTTTGATTTTGCCCGGCTTGCAGTCGCGTCCCCCGGATCTCTGCCTTGCTCTCCCTGCCTCCTCTCCGTGTGTGGGTCTGTGTCACAAAACAGGGCACCTTTATTTATTGATTCATTTGTACAGTGTTGGTGGAACCCGTGGCTTCATGCTAGCTAGGAAATGCTCGGCCAGTGGGCTACATCCTCAACTCTCCACCTCCCTTTTTCAAACATGTTGGGACAGGATCTCACTGAGTTGCCCAGTCTGGCATCTAACTTTTGATCCTCCTCCCTCAGCCTCCTGGGTAGCTGGGATTGCAGCCGTGTACCACCAGGCATGCCTGGTGGGGACAGGGGGCCCTTTTCGTAAAGACATCAGCCACACTGGTTTAGAGCTCACTGTGATGACTCCATTTTAATCTGATTCATTTGTAAAGACCCACTGTCCAGTTAGAATTTCTACATTTTTTTTTCCCTGTGGGGGGCATAGTTAATCCATGACACATATTGTCATTCACATCTGTTGTAATCAACTACACGACCTCCTATAACTGCAAGGGAGTCTGGGAAATTTAGTCATTCATTCATGGGGTGTCATGTGCATGGCTAAAAATTCTGTTGCTAAAAAAGACATGATGAGATAGACGGCCATCTCTTCCCCAAATGGCTTCGTGGGGCTACTGTCTGACTTGATCGTCTTTGTGGTCTTTTGACTCTCTTGGGCATGGAATGGTAGGGTGTTCAGCAGTACCCCTGGTCTCTAACCATCAGATACCAGTAGTGAATTCCTGTGGGTTTTTTTTGGTCTTTTTGAGGCAGGGTCTCGCTATGCAGTTCAGGCTGGCCTTGGGCTCACTTTGTAGCCCAGGTTGGTCTCGAACTTGCAACGATCCTCCTGCCTCAGCCTCCTGAGTGCTGGGATTACAGGCGTGCGCCACCACGTCCAACCAGAACAGCTACTTTGAAGAAGAATGGACAGAACGGTTCTTGCTGTCCTTCGTCCAGGTCATTTTCTTCTGACAAACCTGCTGCTGGACAAGCTGAAAGCCTCAGCCCCATCGCGGGTCATCAACCTCTCCTCCCTGGCCCACGTGGCTGGGCACATAGACTTCGATGACTTGAACTGGCAGAAGAGGAAGTACAACACCAAGGCTGCCTACTGTCAGAGCAAGCTGGCTGTCGTGCTCTTCACCAAGGAGCTGAGCCGGCGGCTGCAAGGTGCGTGTGGGGCGAGCTCACCGCTTTGCTCTCTCCTCTCTCAGCCCGGAATGGCCCTTCCGTGTCCTTGGGCAATGGAAGGACAAGCGTATTGGCTCTGGGCAGAGTAGACTGAAAGGTGGCACTCGTACCATGGCTCTCCCTTCGGATGGCTACGGCAGGCATCACTGATCAATTGCTGCTCTAATGATGCCGTTCAGGCCCTCACTAGGCAGCCTTCTCTGCTTTTCCTGGATGGGCATCTAAGCCTCTGGTGTTCTTAGCTAGTGGTTCTAAACTCGGAGTGATTTTGGTCCCTAGCAGACGGGTGTCAGCGCCTGTAAACGTGGCTGTCACAGCGAGGTAGGGGAGATGCTCCCGGTATCCATGGGGGAATCCATGGGTGCTGCTGAGCTTCTCGCGGTGCATTGCACGTCCCGTCCGCCCTGACCAAGGGTCAGTGCTGAGGCCGAGAGCTGCTCTAGGCCCCTGCGGCTCACAGGTGGTCTGTGGGTCAGCAGGGCGCTCACCTGAGTGAGGGCTGGTCACAGATGCTGTGCCGCAACCACACCGCAAGCCCCAGCTTGAGTCTCTGGGGTAGCGGAGCCCCGGCCTGTGGGTTTGTCAAGGCTCAGGCAGGCTCTGCTCGGGGGCGCGGCTGCCTTGTATGAAGCCACTTGAGCCCGAGGCTTCAGAGTGAGGCGGCATCGATTCCGGTGTGCGAAGCGGCATGGCCGGGGAAGCCCCACAGCTCGGTGTGGGCTGCAGCAGCCTTCGGGTGTGGTGTGCACCCGGCATCTGCCCGCCACCGCCCCCATTCTTGTTCATTCCAGGCACGGGTGTGACCGCCAACGCTCTGCACCCTGGCGTGGCCAGCACGGAGTTGGGCAGACACACTGGCATGCACAGCTCCACCTTCTCCAGCTTCACGCTTGGTGAGTCCCTCTCCGAACCCTTGCCCGTGCCCTAGTACCTGGGCCGGGGCTCTCCCTCTGAGTTCGTCCCTAGCCTTACTTCTTTCTGCCCCCTCCTCTGTGTCTTTGTGTGCTGGAGGATGAGTCACTGTTCTGTTGATGTGGCCTGACAGCCTGAAGACAGCTTCAGGGAATAGGCCAGAGCCCCATGGCCAGTGGAGGGGTGGGGAGTCGTGCTGCTGGTTCTTGGACTCAGGCTGTGCATGGGCTGACTCTGGCTGTGCCCCAGACTACCTGAGCCGCCCGAGGGAAATGTCTTCCCCATGTTATGCTCCAGTTTCCTCGTCTGTACAGTGAGGGCCGCAGTGGGACCCAGTGGAGTCATTGGAGGATTAGATAAGACCTCCTGTAAGAGACCTGCCCAGTGCCTGCGCCAGAGTTAGGCTGCATAAGTAACTAGAACTTAGAGCTAATATTTATGATCCTGAGAAACATCTAGTGGGTGTGTGCTGGGTGTCAAGAATAGTAAGCTGTGACTGCCACCAGGTGGACTGTGTAAGTGAAAATTATTTCAAGGAAGGGTGGGGTAGGTGAGGACTTAGTGTGACCAAAGGAAGTGAGGGCTTTCATTTTTCAGGGGAAAGCCAGGGAGGCGTCCTGGGTCCCTGCGTGTGGAGGGCTCTGCCTGGAGGCGGGACCCACAGGGTGGAGGCCTCCCAGAGGGTGGGGCTGGGCTCTGTCCTCCCGAGTGTGTGGACTGCAGGCTCTGTGGGTCGTTGCAGGGCCCGTCTTCTGGCTGCTGGTCAAGAGCCCCCAGCTGGCGGCCCAGCCCAGCACCTACCTGGCCGTGGCGGAGGAGCTGGAGGGTGTTTCTGGAAAGTACTTTGATGGACTCAAAGAGACGGCTCCAGCCCCGGAGGCAGAAGATGAGGAGGTAGCCCAGAGGCTTTGGGCTGAAAGTGCCCGCCTTGTGGGCTTGGACGTGTCCCTCAAGCCCCCCGCGAGGGGACAGTCCAGCTCCAGATAACCTCAGGAGCAGGTTTGAAAGCCACCTCATTCTCCAGGATAGAGCTGCAAGATCAAGGATGCTGACAGCCGGCCTCTGTCACCCACTGGGGGACGGGATGAACACCGTGACCCTCACCGTCCTCCAGGGGCAGTGTGGGCGCCATGTGAATTTAAAGACCAAGGGATGGAGGCTGCTATGCCATCTTCATCCCCTAGGGGCAGTGTTGGCTCCAAGACCGAGGCACTGGGTGCCACGCCCTCGCCATCCTCGCGGCGCAGGTGAACGCCAAGGGTGCCGGCTGCTGTGCCCGCACTGTCCGCTAGGGGCAGTGTTGGCCCCATCTGGCAGCTGTGCACAGCGGACTGAGCCACAGGCGGGCACCTGCCTCGAGGGACGCCCGTGTCCCTGAGCCTGGGTCTCGGCCACTGTCATGTGCGCTGTAGCCACCGCTGCTTGGGACGGTCTGGTGGGTGAGCTCTGCCTGGCTCGGCGGCCTTCAGGTGACAGTTTACTGAGGGCCTCTGTGCAAGCCAGTCCCTGGTGCCAGGCCCCACCCAGAGAGGCCAGCGCAGACCCCGGCCTGGTCATGGCGTGGCTGAGCACGCGTGGACCGGGATCGCCTGGGCTGACACCTCCCCTCGGGCTCTCAGATGTGCTCTGTGATAATAAAATCCCCCAAACCTACCAGAGTGATGGGTTGTCTTTTCCCCCACGCGTGGGAAGTGAGTGGAGCACACCCCGTGTGTACCCGTTCCTTTAGGACTCCAGGACATGGACTGACTGACCAGGGCAGCAGCCCAGCAGCCCTCCGGGCTGGGGGTGGGAGCCGCCTGTCCCCCGCCTGGGTGTCTTTCGGGGCTGAGTTAGAGCCGGGGCAGGATGAAGGCGAGGTCAGGTGGGCTTTTCCTGGGCCACAGAGGTGAGGTGCTCCAAGGTGCTCAGTAACCAAGATGTAAAACAGTGCTGGGACCCTGCAGTTGGGTGCAGTGTGGCAGTGTGACACAGAGGACAGCCCCACTGGACGCGGGCCACCTGGCCAGATGTCAGCAGCCCCAGGGAGGGGGTTGGACGACTGCCTGAAGCTATTTTTTTTTGTGTGTGTTTTTGAGACAGGGTCTCGCTATGCAGTTCAGGCTGACCTTGAGCTCCCTTTGTAGCCCAGGCTGGTCTCGAATTCGCAACAATCCTCCTGCCTTAGCCTCCCAAGTGCCGGGATTACAGGCACGCGCCACCACACCCGGCTTGAAGCTTTATAAATGCAGCTTCTTTTCTTTTTTCTTTTTTTTTTTTTTCAATTTTTTTTATTAGTATGTGTTGCAGGACACAGCCATCACATTCCTCTATCACAGTCCTCATGGGGGGTAGTTACATGGACACAACGCATTTTAGGTTTTTCATCCCATTCTCTTCCCTGCCGCCCCCTCCAACTCCTGGTCCCCTTCCTGTTTGCAAAAGATCTCCCTATTTCCTGTTATCTATATTTTGTTTTGATTTTTAGTTTTGCTCTGGGTTTCTCATACAGGTGAAACAGTGTGACATTTAAGCCCGTGTTTTATTTCACGTAACATGGTCTCAGGGTGGACCATTTCCCTACAAGTGACTCAGGTTTATTGTTTATGGGAGAATACTGCTCCAATCTGTAAATACCGCATTCTCCATGCAGTTGTCTGTTGATGGGCATAGAAGCCATTTCCAAGGGTTAGCTGTTTTGAGTTACGCTCGTTTTCTTTCAGTAATTTTTTTATTTTAAAGAGAATAATAGTAATAATAAAGAACAAGAGCAAAATACCAACAACACAGATAAAAACAAGACAGCAAAAACAAAAATGATACAGGGTTTCAGAACAAAACGATAGGAATTAACAGTGGTTTATATTACATATGAGTTATCCTCATTTTCTTTTCTATTTTTACATAGTTTCCTGCATGGCTTGTCTCCTCAGTCATTGCCCAGAGGACTCTGGGAAGTTGTAGGGGTGTGCAGGGCAGACGCAAGGCCCAGCTCTCCAGCGTCGTGGAGGGGGACTGTGCATCGTGGGGCAGCGCCCTGTGCTCCCGGATGCCGCCTGAATAGAGCCCGCGGAGAGTGCTCATTTTCTGTTACTGCACCATTCCTGACCTGAGTGGCAGGGAGCTTCCTCCCTGGCGGCCGGTGATCCCCTCCTCCCTGCGCTCATGCTGCTGTCCTCTCCTTTGAGTCCTGGGAGGACCTAGGACCTGCTTCTAACAACAGAGCAGGGCCCGGGAGGGAAGGGGCGTCTGACGTCTGTGCTGCTGGCTCTCTCCCTGGCTCCCACTGGCTCCTCCTCTGGAGCCAGTTGCCATGGGGACAGCGCCCCTTGGAGAATCCAGCTAACCGCCACCTAGGAGAAACTGAGTCACACCAATAACCGCATGAGTTACTTGGTATATTCTACTGGTTAAGAGCAAATGTCGGGCCTGGGGATTTAGCTCAGCGGCAAAAGCGCCTGCCTGGCAAGTGCAAGGTCGTGAGTTCGGTTCCCGGTACCGGAGAAAAACCAAAAAAAAAAAAAAAAAAAAAAAAAAAAAAAAACTCTTTTTAAAAAAAAAAAAAAAAAAAAAAAAAAAAAAAAATAAAAACCTCTTGTTATAAAAAAAAAAAAAAAAGAGCAAATGTCGGTCCAGCTAAAAAGGGACTATTCCAGGAGGTGGGAATTGTGTGGTCATCCCAAGCGCCAGCCCACCACAGTGAGAGAATACCCTCTCCTATCATCTCTCCCATCCACCTGTCTATCTATCTATCATCTATCTATCTACCTGTCTCTGTTGTCTGTCATCCATTTTTCTGTCATCTATCCATCTGCCATCTACCTCCTATCTAAATGTATTGTGTGCTGGGGGAACATGGAAGAGCAAGCTTCAGAAACACTTGTACTGGCTGCCTTGATGTACTGGCTTGATTTAAAACATTTACGTTTCACGGTCCAATTGACCGTGGAGACGAGCCAGAAGTCACACGCTGCCAGATGCAGGGAATGAGGTGGAGGAGGACGCGGCATCATGTTTTCACGGCTGCTTTTCTGTTGGGTGGCACCCGCAGCAGCGCTCATCATACTTTTGATCGTACTTTGTAAAGACACTTGGGAAAGCAGACTTTCTGAGCTGCTGAAAGTGGCCAGAACCACGGGATTAGTTTCAAAGCAAGGGGGAGGGTTTTGGGTTAAATTGATGGCAATGTGTTTTACTGTCACCATTCTTTTGTTTAAAACATTCACTGTACTGTGTCCATCACACCTTGTATTTTACTTGTGACGTCTTAGTACGAGGGGTTGAACTCCCGTCCCATAGCCACTGTCTGGAGTTGGTGTTCAGTTCGGGGTGAATGAACCCAGGCCACCGGAGCAGCTGATCACGTGATTAACGTTTATATAGACACGTGAAATGTGGCTAATTCTACCCGCAGACCTCAACCGACCTCCACTTCCTTTTCCGAAGTGAGAAACCCCAAGTACCACAGGTGCTGACTCATACATCAACCAGGGACGCTTTGTGGTGGTACCAACCTAGCCACACCCTTAGAAGAGATGAAAGATGATAAAATCTACCTGAAAAAAACCGAAGGTGTGTGGAGAGATGCGGCAAAGGAATAAAGAGATTGAAAAACCCGACATGGAAGTATCTTTGTGTGTGGTTAGTCACACAAGGAAAGAGCGGTTGGTGTGAGGGCCTCACGCTGTGGTGTGGACTGGGGAATTTGGCCCAGCTGCCTTGGGCTGGTGGTGACAGGGGACACCGAAGTGGATAAGCTGTGTTGGTCCTTAGCTGGAATATACTGGTACAGCTTTGTCAGTTACAATCTCACTGTTAAACCCGCTGGGTGAAGAGCCACTGCCCTGAGGCCCCACCAGTGTCCCAGTCTGGGTCTTCCCTCTGGTCTCCTTGGATCCCTCCATGCTCCAGCAAGTAAGGGGTTAATTCGAGACACATCAGGGAGCCTCAGGTCAGCTGGTCTGCTCATTTGACTGTTACCTCTGACTGGGGTGGGCTCACATCAGATGGACTGTGAAATGCTAAATGCCACCCCAGGCTTCCATCAGGGAACTTTGATGCCCATAAGTAGGAATCCAGAGGCAAGGCAGGCTTGGGATTCTGTGACTTCTTCCTGTCTCTTTGAGCACTACTAGGGTCCGCTTCATCTCAAGCCTGGGCCTTTGCTGAGGGTTGAATGGTGGTCTCTAAAACACAGGTCTGAATCTTGACCCTTGCTACCTGAGAAGGTGGCCAAATTTGGAAAAGGTTCTTGTGGACCAAGTGAAGGATTCTGGGATGAAGTCTCCTAGATTATCTGGGTAGCCTTGCAGCATCTGTCCTTATAAGAGATGGATGATGGGTGATGTTATGGCCTGTGTCTGGATGTCCCTCTGAAGCCTTGTGGAGTCAGGAGGGGTGCTTTTCAGAGGCGGCTGGATCTAGAATGTGTGGTGCTGGGTTGAAGGGTGTGTCATTACTAAATCAGTCCACTTACTGGTTTGGCACGGTTCCGGCTGGGATTAAAGGTGTGAGTGCTACAGCTGCTTTAGGGCGGGTAGCCTGCATACAATATAAGGGACAGATAGAGGGCTAACGGCTCTCACCTACCTGCCTGCTGTAGACTTTCTCCTCTGAAGTGCTCTTCTAGCCGACTATGGACTGAAACAAACTGAGGCAAATAAACATTTCCTCCTTTAACTTCGGATGTGGGATGCGTTGTCTCAGCAATGGGAGAAAAAGTAACTAAGATAGATGCGGGGAAAATAGGGAGATAGCAGAGGAGGATGTCCCTGAAGGTGGAGGCTCCTAAGGATGGAGGCTGAGAACAAAGTGGTGTGGCCTTGAGCCAGAGAATGTCTGGACCCCTGAAGCTGCAAAAGGCAAGGAGCAAATCTCCCCTAGGGATCTGGTGGGTGTATGGCCTTCCTGAGACCTCGATTTCAGACTTCTGTTGTCTGGAACTGTGGTAGAATACATTTATGTAGCATAAGCCTCCAAATTGGCGGTAAGTTGTTAGGGCGGCTAATGGGAAATAATACAAGGCCTTTGGAGGTCACAGTAGGACCACCAGGGTCAACTTGGGCCACTTCCTTTCTTATCTCTGTCAGGTTATATCTTAGTTACTTCCTCATTGCTGGAATAAAATACTCAACACCCACAAGTTAAAGGAGGGGAGATTTATTTTAGCCCAGTTTGTAGAGGTTTCAATCTGTCGTTGGCTGGCTGTAAGGCAGGGGCATGACAGAGGAGAAACAGTCCATGGCAGAGGAGGCAGTGAGCATCGAGCCTTCCTTTCCCTTTTATCTCATTCAGGCTACAAGCCTATTGGATGGTGTTAGCCACACCCAGGGTGCGCCTTCCCATTACCCACAACCAGAACTATGCCAAACCAATCCAGTTGTCACACATCCATGATCTGGCCGCTCTCAAAAGCCCCACCTGGGAGTGCATGAGGGTTTGGGGGACATCTTAGATATAAACCCTAACCAGCAGGGAAAAAGACACTTCTCTTTTATTTCAGACTGACTGGGTTAAAATGCACAGGAGTTCTCTGGGGACCAAGAGGTAATGGACTGGACTCAACATTCGGGCTGGATCCTTCTTTGCTGTGGGGGGCTGCTCAGTGCATTGTGGGATGTTTAGCAGCATCCCTGTTCCCTAGCCCTAGATACTGTACCGGTAGCAATCTGCCT